ACAGAGTTGCTCAGCGCAGAGTTATGCTAAGCTCTCAAGTTAGCTGAGCAGGACCAGGTTAGCAGCTAATTTAATGTGTGATACGTATTGACTGTCACTGGTTCCCAGCTCAATCTTGCTGAGAACTTGAAGCTGACAAGCAAAGTGTTCACATGGCAACTTGACAAAATTGGATGAGGCTGCTTCATCGGAATGAGGATTAAGTTGTAAACTACGCGGGGCGAGGGCATCCCTGAAATTGTATTTAGTAATACTGACCTAACTGATCTCAAAGAAACAATTGTCTTGTTTCCCTCGGTTGCCTCATTGGGAGAGTACGCATGTGATTGTCATGCACCAGACTACATTTTCCTGCAAGCTCATCTGTGACGTAGTGGTCAAAGCAGCAGTGTAAAATGCAGCGGGAAGGAGGAACACGTGGAAGTTGTTTCTTGGGAACCGAAGTGCCAAAATGGCTGCCATATTGTTATGTGATTTAACTCTGGATGTATTGAATTTTCGGTTTTTTGAGATATATGTGTTACCCCAGGTTGAATTCAGTGAAAAAAAAAAAGGGTTCCGAAACTTCATCTAAACTTACCAGAGGCTGAGGTCAAAACTAGTCACGCGCCCAAGAGTCCGAGGGCGCACATCCTAACCCTCGGCCACTGTGTCTGTTGGATACTTGACCAAGATGGCAGCCACACAAACAGATTTGTACTCAGTACATGTGGGCGTCTCTTCAGATTACCACTGGCATGTCGGACGGGACAAGCTTGGTGGAGTAACGCAAGTAAAACGAAGGGTGCTGCAATTTGTTTTTCATGTAATTTCATTCTGTATTTTGAATTATCTAAGCCTTTCTTGCAGTTCAGCTCTGTTTTTCAAATACATTTTTTTTAATGTATATATTAAATTTTAAACTTTAAAAAAAAAAAAAGAATAACAATATCGCCATCATTTTGTTCCTGTTCAGTAATCGCGAAGCAACGTTGTTAGCAACTTTTTCTGCTCTGGTATATGTAACAAGAAAACTGTCCTCTTTGCGTTTAGTGTAATGTGTAAATCGTGACGTTCAGTGTGTTATAAATATGTATAGTGTACTGTTATAGCGCAGATAGCGCTTTTTTTAATTGCCTTTTTAAAAAAAACAACTGCTTTTGTCTTTCATTATTTAAGGCAACCTTTTTATTTGTGGGGAGTGGGTTCAAGATTGTGCCCCAGTTTTGGTATAGGTCCTTACTGGCTGTATTGAGAAGCATGTTTTGTCGGAAGCCGCTGCCTGAAGTTGAAACTTGCAGTGGTTAGTTACATAACCTGCTTCAGCTGAAGGCAACGCCTTGTTGACTGTTTTTACCATTTTGCAAGTCAAGTCAAGTCAACCTCAGTCCACTGATATTTAAACAGGGCAGTTTTCAGTCTCCATTTTGAGGGAGGGGGGGCAGAAGGGGAGGAAACCCTCCAGAACAGAGGTCTTTTGGCCTCAGTGTGTGAACCTTTTTTTAATAACTTTTTTAACATTTTTTTTTGTCGTCATCACTTGAGCGATGTTGCATCAAACATGCATAAAAGTTGAAACAGACATAGTCATTGGCTGTAATGGTTTGTGTATGAAATGGCTGAACCAATCAGAGAACAAGTTGTGTTAGGATAACTCCGCCACATACTCCTCATCCTTTTTGGGGGGCCTAGTTGACTTTTGCATACGACGTTTAACGTGCAGTTAACAGAAGTGTTATGTTGAAGTTGCACTATAAGCACCCTCCCCCACTTTCCTCTTGCTCCGCCCATAAACCAATACTGTACATGGTGGTAGCATCATGTAAAGGAAATTCCCTTCCACGCCGCGATACCGGGAATTTTCTGAACCCTGCATCCTAACAAATTGTTATGGCCAATGCGTAGTTTGCATCATGCTGTACAAATTGCTCGTAATCTTTTCTATTCCTAATTTTTTTGTATCCAAAGGAAGTATCTTTAATCCGAGCCTGGGTAAAAAAAAAAAATTAAAAGCCTATCATATGCGTAATCCCCATGCTCTGTGTGTGTCCCTTAAACCCCAGGCTTGCGTCGTGTTGATGTATTGATGACGTCATCACCCCTCAGTGCATGTATTATAGGATATACGAGATTGGGAGAGAAAAAAAAAACCGGTCGTTGCTGTATAGTATTACAATAATACCTTTGTAATAGAGTAATATTGTGTAGTCACGCCCTACTTGTATTATATAAATATTCGCGGTGAAGAAATCCAGGGTTGAAGGAGAACAAAAAGTTGCAATGAAGAGAAACCTTCCGGAACTGTTGAAGTCGAAACGTTTGTGTCGTGCGAGTTATTCATCATGTGTTTTTGCGTTGACAATATGGAATCCTCAGTCATGTTGCAATATCGTTTGGCGTCCCCACACACGTGAAATGTTGATTTGATCTCTTAGTGACCTCCTGTGTCCACCCCGAGAACAACGGGGGAAAATACGGGTGATTCACAACAGTGCGCCTCCAAGAGCTTGCAACGCGTTGACCAATCACAGTGCGCGAAGTCTGTCCACCCAATGTGCGTTTGGAAAGGGTCGACAGATCTTATGCATTCTGATTGGTCAACGCGTAGCAAACTCTTGGAGGCGCACTGTTGTGAAACGCCCCTATTAAGTACATGTATCAAATAACGGTAAACTGTTATGGATACTGTAGATTTTCTCCAAAACTGTATGACTCGTATCTAAGCTGAAACGTCCACACCGTCGATACACCTGTCCCGAATATTGTTTTCGGTGATGTACTTTGAATGAAAAAATAAATAATAATAGCAGTATGGCCAAAAACCTGTAAAATAAAGCGTTATCTTAAATTCTCAATGTTAAGCACTCACCAGTGAGACATCAGGTTGTTCAAAAGGTGACCATCTCTCTGGGGCTTCACATGGAATCATATGGAAATCCTTCCCCTCAAAAGTGAAGAATTCCAAGGGAAGAAAAACAAGACGCTTTTTAATTGTTATACTAAACGTGGAGGCGGACGTCGACAGATTTGCATGTCTGCTCACCAAAGACTGTTTTCATATCAAATGTTTGGATGCCTCGCGACGTGTCTGGATTTGCTGATCCTTTTGGCATTTTCCTTAAATGTCAAGTATGGACAGCCAGATCAGGGGTTGAAATGAGAACGTTCCCGGTCTAACTAATAATGTCGGGGATACAAATAAACTCGTCGCGTGGAATAGATCACTCCTTTACCGCACTCCACACTCTGAAGCCATTCGTTTTCCTTTTAATAAGAAAAAAAACTGATATCTATCGTTGCCCTCGACTGAATGCTAAAAACGTGGCTGTGAATTTGAGAAAAGGGTGTTGTTTTTTGGTGTGGTGGGGGGAGGTGTCAAATGCCCATTCATGTTTCACATTGTGGACAGCTTAAAGCGGGGTGAATTACAGTGTTTTTCTTCCGACGTTAACCCGATTGTCGATTTAAAACGTTCGAAAAAAGTCAAAGAACGCTGGGTGGTTAAGCAAAGGTAGGTCACCGTTATCGTACAAACGACTGAATCTCTTAAAATAAATACAAGCCCAACTTTTTTCCACTGGGCTGTGGTGGTTTCATTTTCATGTTGAGCATTTCGAAATGAAAGGGAAAGTGCGTCACGACGGTATCTTCTGCGTCGGTCGTTTATCTTTCACATTCATCGAAGCAAATGAAAATTCACCCTAGATCCATTAATTTGCAATAACCGGACAAGTTATCTATCGGGATTTTAGAAAATCTTAAAGTAAAGAAACAGCAAAGTATCGTTACTGAGGAATTTATTTCACAATTATCTTTTCCCACAATTGTTTTTTTTTAATCATATCTGTTCACATTTTGTGAAGTTACACTCAATAAGGTCTATCTCGAAGCTGTACCCACGCAGATACGGAGCACGGATATAGCAATACCGTAACCCATTATGACGTTGTGAGGCTTTTTAATCGGATATCTATTCCATCTAGATAGGAACCATGAACTTACCCTCAGCCAAATATTACGGATTTCTCACAAAGGTGAGCGCTTTTTGGGGCTTTCGAATATAGAAGTCATATATTTTATGTTCTCAGTCCCCATATTAACAATCTGCTGTTGATTTTTGTTGGTTATGGTTCCTGGATTCGATAAGGAAGAAATAAATTTATCCAGATTAGGGAGGCTTCTAGGCCGAAACTTCGGCCATTATTAATGCATGTAACGATAATGATGACACTGTCGGATCATTTGGTGATTCAGACGGGTTCCTGGCATCGGACTCGTGCCAAGGTCACGCAAAAGTTCAAGTGACCTGTCTATCCCGTCCAAAAAGGTACGCCGTCATTTTCCTCTCTCTGTAATTAGTTATGCCAGTTTTCAATGAGTCACTAATTCGAGAAATAAACCGCAAGGTTCAGACTGTACCGAAAGTGTACGCGACCCTCGCCGTTCATGGACACGTTTTTACTGGTCATTT